GCAAAACGAGAACAGTAGTGGCATAAGCCCTTACTACCTTAGCTATCGAAACTTCGAGGGTAGCAGATCTTAAAGTCACATATGTTCATCGATAACCTCCGGGGCTTGTCCTACAGTTCATAACAATTATGATGAGGAAAAATAATTAACCAGTGGTTATAGCTGAGCTGCCATCCTTAAAAAAGTTAGCTGAACATTTTTTCAAAATAATACTAGATTTCAAATTAAGTATTAACGTACGGAAAAAAAAAATGTTTTGATATCAAATTCTGTGCATATAATTATGAGCATTTAATTTCACGATTTAATCGAATGTAAGATTGATAGATAACATTCAAGCAAGAGCGAGAGAGCAAGAGTTCGATAAATATATATATCATATACTCGGTTACAGTCAAAAGAGAAAAACTTATGTCGTCGCTTTCTTTGGCTGTGCGCTCAGATATATAGCTATAGTCAACATTTCCACTCCTCTCCTCGTAGGCACACATTCGGTATACCCCTTCTACGTGTCGCCAAAATGTGCGCCTATATGCTCATTTCCACGCGAATCCACTTCTCTTCTTGTAGGCGCACACTCTTCGATACGAGTCTCGCACTCTCGAAAAATTTGCGCCTTGGTTCGACGGCTGGCCGCGGCGGGTCGCCCCGATCAGTGGAAAAAAGTTGTCTCACGCCGTAGCATTGGCATTAGCAATCTCTCTACTTATCTCTGGTATTTAAATTCTGTACAATTCATTTTCAACATACTTAAAACTATCAGATGTTGCACAGTATATGATAATTTTTTATGAAAATATTTTCATTTGTTACCAGTAACTGACACTTTTAATTAGGATTAATAGAACAAAGTTCATTAAACTCAGTGAAGGTTCATTCACCGTATAGAAAAATCCACTAATCGTCGTTATTTTCATTCCAAGTGGCGTTTTTGCAAGTACTCATATCAAAAAAGTCCGAGAAAAAAATATGATTAGCAACCCAACTGGTTTTTAGTGTTATTTATTCACAAAATGTGTCTTTAGGCGAGCAAGCATCGACGATTAGCAACCCGTCTGTTTTTAGTATAGTTAGTTAACAAAACATATCCTAGGGCGAGCAAGCATTGGTGATGAGCAACCCATGTTTTGCTCTTCAATTATGCTAAAAAACAGGTGGGTTGCGAATCGCCCATGCTTGTTCGTCTAAGAACACATTTTATTAATAAATAACACAGGACCACAAATGAAAATAAAATAAAGGGTACTTTTTAACTACAATATATTCCCCACATATTTTGAGGTGCTGAATTCATATCTGTTGTCCGAATTGCTCTATCACGTCACGATTTCTTTTTATCTGGAAAAAACGTGTCCATAAGCGACAATGCTCTAATTTCGATGAATAACTTAGTCCCCACGTACACAAGCGTAGAGAATTTTAACGTGATAGAGCAATTTGGACAACGGATTTGAATTCAGCACCTCAAAATACGTGGCGAATGTATTGTAGCTAAAAAGTACCCTTCCACTTATTTTTTTTTTGGTCCTGTGTAATACATGACCGGTCAAAATTTGACTTTTGATATACATCATTCGCTCATATCCACTTTTGGGAGCACAGTTTTGTACGAAAAGTTATTTCACACTACAACCCGTGAAAGAGGTTTTGCTATTCAAGCGGCTTCTACCATAAAACACTGGTTAAAAAATAAAATTGAGGGGGTCTACAATTGTACAAGTAACGGAAACACTTTCTTGGCAATCACAAGTCTGAGCCACTATGAAAAATATGAGAATGAAAAAGAAACAATTATTTGAAGCTATGTATTTTTAAAATAAGTAAACGAATTTGTGAGCTATGACTGATTAACCACAAACACACTAATACTTTTTAAAACAACCTATTTCTATTTCTCTATACGTGAAGAAAAAAGTAAACTTTTGGAGACAACCGAGTAACTCGAGGATCAGCACATGAGAGAGATCGGCCGAAGCACAGCAGCCGGTAGGTGATAGCAAAAACAGCTCGGCGCGCGCACTTCTCGCCGTCAGCTGTGATCATGGCTTACTAGGTGTNTATACTTATTAACCAACTAAGTAATGTAACGGAAAAAGACAAAATCAATAACTTAATATTATAAATTAATTTGTGATTAATTTTAATAAAATTAGTAGTTGGACAAGAGTCAAATGTTAAATTTGCGGCTTCATTTATGTCAACGAACGAACCGAAATGTAAGATGATGAGATAAATAATAATGTTCACAAAAATAATACTGTTAATACTCAGCCAAAATTTAAGCTGTTCTATTTCATTTAAACGTAATTCAACTATTAATTACGATGAAGTACCTTAGAAAGAAGTGTTAAGAGTTTTCATTGATTAAAAAATTGATTTCTAGAAATCAAGAAAATGGTCGGAAATCCATGAAAATTTTTAGTAGTCATATAATGATTTCTATAAGTCCAATCATAACTTCGAAATCGTTTTCCTGTACTTAAAAAATTGTAGCAGTAGTCAAGGTCATTTGATATAATTAGAAATCATTGGAAATCATTTCAAAGATTTCGAAATCTTAAACATTATTTCAGAGTGCGCAGTCCCTCGCAATTGCGTTACTTTATCTTGGTAATGCTTGCTCGCTAAAAAATTACTTTTTGTATGCTCAACAAGATGAATAGTTGGATTGCTTAGCACTGATACTTGCTCATCTACAAACAACTTTTATTATGTTGAACGAAACAGTCATTTGGTTTATTTATGGTCAATGCTTTCTCTCTTAGAAATTACTTTTATTATACTTAAAATCAAAAAAAGTTGACCCAATTAATATTTTTTTAAGAAATACATAAAAAAATAATACTACAATTGGTTTGCGCTTATGATTGGCTGCTTCATAATTATTTGTAATATTTAATTACAAAGGAAGACAGTTAGATTACCCATTTAGATGATATCTGACATGATAATTGTTGTTCTAAAGTAGCAGTTATACTTTGCATATACTCTGATTTCTTTCAGCTCTTAAAATCGAAGTATAAAATTCAATATTTATAATTGAATGTGTAGTTGCGTCTGGTTTATCTCACACACTACGCCGTCAATGGTGGTGTGTGATATTTAAGATTTGACGAATACCTAAATTACGATTAAATCACAATTTAATTGCACCTGATTAAAATGTTTTAAATACTAAAAAAAATAATCTACGGAAATGAAAAATTTTAAAGAATGTTACATATTGTTGATTGTGTACTAAAAAGCAGTGAGTATATGATAATTTCATTTCATATAACGCTGATATTATAACATTACATTGTGAATTCGTTAGAATTCATTTATTTTGTTAGAAGTTTCTAATGCTTGTTCAGCATTTATCGTAAAAATACAATTTTAAATACTTTGGTGCACACACCATAACAAGACTTGTCAATTATATACATTCAATGTAAGTGTTAGATTTTTTCAACGTGGCAACCTTGTAACGTAATGTTTAAAACTGTTGAATTGTTACTGACTAAACGTGGGAAATGTTTGCAGATAAAAGGTTGTTAATAAACATTTATATGTATACACGAAAAAAATAGCGGGCACAACTGCAACAGAACGAACTGCTGCAATCGCGTACGCGAATCAGCAGCGGACGCGGAAAATAGCGGGCGCGACTGAAACACAAGAACGAACTGTTGCAATCGCGTGCGCGAATCAGTAGCGGACGCGAAAAATAGCGGTCACGGTTCGCGTACGCGATTTGGCTAGAATTTAGCCAGCTGTTGGCCACAGCGGACATTACGTGTGTTGGCGTTTATTTCCACGTCAGCATGTCTATCTATGCTATTGTTACCTACAACTAGTCATTGCCAACCTAGCGACTTAACATCACTAATCTAGTTTTATGGAAATTGTCGTCGACCCAGAAAATACCTAGACATCATTTCCGAGAATAAGCTGTCTGGGACTTAAATCTACCGCAAGAAAGTAGTGAGGGAGACCTCGTGCATCAGCACCTAACCAGGTAACGGACCGATCGCCCAAGGCCAGCCAAAGGTTGGAGAGCGCCATCTACATCTTTTTGCTCCGTGCTTGAGGCTCAGGTCATAACAAGGTCACATCCTGTTCCGGCTGTTATTTCCCCCCACGCACCTCATTACAGTGTTAAACTCGTTAGAATTACAGAAGTTATAGATACTTTTTAATGTACCTAAAAATGTAAGGTGATGTTTTACCATCCTGTAATAGAGTATCGAATACAACTTTTAGAAAACTTTAAATTGAAAGCTCAAACAACTTGATAACTATTTTATAAAATTCAAATTTCTTTTTCAGTTTTCAAGTATTAAATACGTTAGACGGAGTAAGAACGTTGCTTTTAATAATACGTTAACAATTTTCAGACTACTTTAAAGATGTGAGTTTTATTCCAAACTTGCTGCATGTAGAATGAATTCTCATAATTTTTGAGTTAAATATAAATTGTGGAAATATTTTAGCAAACATAAAAAAGAAATGCACCATTGTCTACGATGTATATTTTTTCAATTTGTGCTAAAACAAAATTATATCTTGGTAATATTTTTATACATACAAAACACACTTACAGTTTTACATCTTTGATAAACTGTCCTTATAATACTTGTTAGTTTGCAATATCTTATTTGCAATGAATAATTTAAAAAAATATAATTAAAATATAAATTTTTTTTCTTGTAAAAGATAAAATGTAAAAGGACAACAGATGTTGAAAATTATTTTTGTTCTTTAACAATTTTCGGATTGTACATTAAGAATAAAATCTTCTTTTTGTTTCCAAGTTAGTAATTCATCAAGAACATTCAATAAGTATGGATTTCCACCAAGTCTTTCAATTTCGTGTCTGGCTTGTTTATCAAGATCTGTCAATACTTTTCTTGTGTATGCAAATGAACCAAATTTTTCCAACAAATTTACACAATATCTCTTCACTTCAACATTTTTTGTACGCTGACGAAGAATATCTATTGTAATCGTTAGGAAAAATCAAATAAAAAGTCGAACAATGTTAGCATGAAATTTGACACAAACAAGTTTAGGAGTTCCATACCTAAACTCAAAAATATTAAACTGACTAAAAGCTACACATGACGATTTATTATCATATCCTCTTAGAGGATCTGAAAACAATTTAGACTTAAAAAATAAGAAAATATTGGAAGAAAGCCTACCACGAACATGAATTCGTATGGGGACCGATTTTTAATACAGAAAGTAAAGCACTTTCAAATTACATTTTAAAAATTATTTCTAAGGAACATAAATAACAAACTTTCAGTTAGTTTACTAAGCTAATTACAGGACACTTAAAACAGTAATTTCCGAAATGAAATGGTCGTACAAATTATTAATAAATCTGAACAGATGCAAGCGAAAAATTTAACAATAAAAACATCTATGTAATTATGTTTCATAAATATGTATGTATGTATGTATCTATATTTAAAGCATCTATATTGAGAGATTTTCTCCCCCTAGATGAAATTCCGATGTGACTAAGCCATTTATACTTAAATAAACCTACTGCTTTAAGCTTTATATACATGTTGTTCATTATTTAACCTTTAAAAGAGAAGACTAGGTTAATTTTCTCGTACTCGAAGTTAAATACAAATAATTACGAAAATTTCTTATGAATTTATTTAAAACATCTAATAGCCCAATAAAAATCATTAAAATTACTCGACTGGTTCTGAGGAAAATACTTCCATGGTTTGTATTATTGTATAATTAAGTGTCATTTGAATCTGCGTACGTACTGGTATCAAATAATAAATAAAAAAGTAAAAAATTAAGATTTGTTACATAGTTTATCACAAACATTACCAAAAAAAAAGCTTAGCGCGCCAAGAACTTCATACTTACATATAAATAGAAGTAGAATTGATACCAATTCATCTATGATCTTACTTCTAGTTATGTAAATGACTCAATTATTAATTATTCATATGACATACATTGTATAAAGTCCTTTTATTTGCGTCCTGGGCAGTGTAAGATATATGAAAATGTGTACTCAAAAGTAAATATTCAACTATGTTTAAGGTAAGTGGAGGGCACTGGGGTATCTTGATAAAAAATAATATAAGTCAGAATTACGAAAACGACGTACGCATACATTTACCATGTTATAAATATGAATATGTATAGATATATAATAACATATCTGTACACACATGTATGTCGGAATTTCACCTTATTTTGAGGGAGGCAGTAGGGATTAACTGGTGTATTTAAGGGGGGGGGGCTATGGGGGGTTTTTGTTAAATGTCCAACACAAACAACTACATAATGTACTAATTTACACACAAATACACAAATAAATTACTTTTTTAAGGTTAATTCTAATCAAGCAAACAACATTTTTTCAAATTTTTTACACGGACTATTGCAAACTAACTGCTTTAAAGTATGTACCATTTTTTTTTTTATACAATTCAATTGTTTAACTTTTGAGCACTGAGGAGTTCAACACAGTTAAATTAACCGTGATACAGTGAACGGACGTTTTCATGCACGGTTAGGTCAACTCACTTTAACACGTTGTCTTATGGGAGCCCTCGCATACTTGCTCACCACTCCACGAAAAAACGACCGAACCTCCTTAAGGACATTCATCACAGTTAGCGGGGCAAAACTCGAGAGCGGTGAAGGGGGAGCGAGCATGCAGCAGCGCCAGCAATTGTTTTGCACGAATTTGTATACCTATACATAAGCGTCTGATACTGTTTTTTTTTTTTTTAATTTTATTGCAAAAATAGCTTGTCGATCTGCTAAAAATTCAGTATAATATCAGTTTTATGGTATTGTGTCATGCAAACAAAAATTAAACAAATTTTTCAGACCATTTTCTTATAAATTCCACTTTTGTGTGACTCCTTCATAAGATTACGTGTTAAATTTAAGTATTATCAATATTTAATATCTAAAGAATGGTGATGTGAAATGGTCTAAAATTCTACATCTGACTTTATAACATCATCACGAGCATCCTATAAAAAGAACCCCGCACAAACCCTTAGGAGATTCTCTCTCGGTTAAATTGGCTGAAAATTCTATTTGTTACAGATTAAGTTATCCTGAATAAGATGTAACTATTTTTTTTCAAACAAATGGCTAGTTTTTAAAAAAAAATTGTTGAGGATGGCGATTTGTCATGAGGTTAGTTTGACAGGCGGCATGAACCATTCCAACCTTATAATGTATACATACACACACATATATATGTATATTTATTGTTTTTGACTCTTGATCGCTGTTTGCACCTGCTGGAGAAGAGCGCATGATAAATTCTTAATGAAGCACTTTTAGCCAGACTTCGTAAAAGACATTTAGCCAGACTTCCAGCCAGACATTCAGCCAGACATTAACCCAGACTTCAGACATACATTCGGTCATTATATTTGCCAGACTTCCAGCCAGACTTTAACAGTTCCACAACCAACTCACTTACGGCGGGATTTCTGGCGTACAAGATTATGTAACTATGAGCCACCGTGAGCATGTCCTATAAATCCGTGAGCTAGAGCAGCCCACTGAAGCCCTGTTTCGGTGGTACGTGTACCAACTCCGTGTTTGCCTGCTGAGAGGGAGGCTCAACCAGCTCTTGGCGAACCCTTGGACCTCCTTGTCCGCCGCTGTAAAGCATTCCTTCTTCATGCTCGCCCCCTGCATGACGAAGTCAAGGCGTGGCAGCAGGAACGTGCCCACCGCATCCAACTTCAGCCAAGGGGCTAGCAAAGAGTTGCCGATCTTGTTGACACCGGAGTTTGTCGGACCCTGTACCCTGTGGGTATATACCCAGATGGTTGTAGGCATAGGTGATGTCGAGCGTGGGCAATGGCATGCCCTGCAGCTCGAACGTGGTCGGCCGCACAGTACCCCCTTTCCCACCAGTTTTAAGATTTACTTACATCAAGAACCGAAGAACCGTCCCACCGAAGGCAAGAGCCCACGGGTTCATGGACCAACTCGAAGACATGCATATTTTTTGACGTAAACTACTATCTCACTTTCTCTATTATTTTAAGTTTTTGTGGTTGAATTTTGTAAATAACAGAATTAACAAACATGTGAATTTGATGTAAGCATTAAAAATGATGCTGAAATTATTTATTGTATAAATTAAAAAAATCAAAATCCTTCTAAACTCATAGAAAATGATTCATTTCGTATGATTGAAATTTTTCACTGCCGTTTATCGAAATAAAATTGAAAATAAAGTCTAATGCTTTATTTTGGCTATTGTATTGCTGAAATTGTTTTTTCTTGTTCTGCTAAATTCTCTAGTGATATCTTTTGTGAATTTAAAAATATATTTTCTCCCTCATTCATTGAAATCTTACAGTACTGCATCAAGTTACAAAGTTTGCCGGTGAACCAACGATCAAGTAGACGTGAAAATGAAAAAAAAACAATTGACAAAGTGTTAAGTGCGAAGTCTGGATAATACGTCACAGTCATACCTTTTTCACGACACTAATCTTTTTTCTACAGCATACAAAAAATTCTCGTATTCAACATTATTAACGTTTTCATTATTAAGGACACGTTAATTATTTTTTAAAGTTATAATTTGTCAGTGACGTGAATGAATAGTGTACTACTAGTGATAACTGCATGCTGTATCTTAGCTATTTAAAAAAAGATATCTCTTGAAAAATCAAATGGAGATATGTAAAATATGATGAAAGTCTGACAGAAAAACTGGCTCAATGTCTGGCTGGAAGTCTGGCAAAAAACATGCTGAATGTCTGACTGGAAGTTTGGCTTAATGTTTGGCAGTAAGTATATCTGGAATTCTGACTTGATGTTTTGCTCAGTGTCTGGCTAAAAAACTTGCTAAATTTCTGACTGGATATTTGGCTCAATGTCTGGCAGTAAGTATATCTGGAATTCTGACTTGATGTTTTGCTCAATGTCTGGCTAAAAAACTTGCTAAATGTCTGACTGTAAGTCTAGTTGTATTCTGGCTGAAGTCTGGCTGAATGTCTGGCTCAAAGTCTAGCTGTATATCTGGCTGAAAGACTGGTTCAAAGTCTGGCTGAAAGTCTGGCTGAAAGTCTGGCTGTATGTCTGGCTGGAAGTCTGGCTCAAAAACTCGCCTAATGTCTGGCTAGAAGTCTGGCAGATAAAATGACCAAATGTGGGTCTGGAGGTCTGGCTTAATGTCTAGCTGTATGTCTGGCTGAAAGTCTGGGTCAAAGTCTAGATGTATGTCTGTCTGGAAGTTTGGCTCAATGTCTAGCAGAAAAACTTGCTAAATGTCTGGCTGGAAGTCTAGCTGTATGTATGACTGGAAGTCTGGCTGAATGTCTGGCTAAAAGTCTAGCTGTATGTCTGGCTGGAAGTCTGGCTGAAAGTCCCGCTGGAACTCTGGCAGAAAAACTGGCTAAATGTCTAACAGTGAGTCTGGCTTGAAGTCTGGTTTAATGTCTAGCTGTACATCTGGCTGGAAGTCTGGCTCAAAAACTGGCCTAATGTCTGGCTGGAAGTCTGGCTGCATGTCTGGCTGAAAGTCTGGGTAAAAGTCTAGATGTATGTCTGGCTGAAAGTCTGGCTGACAGTCTAGCAGAAAATGTGGCTGAATGTCTGGCTGGAAGTCTGGCTGTAAGTCTAGCAGATAAAATGATTAAATGTGTGTCTGGAAGTTTGGCTTATTGTCTGGCTCAAAGTCTGTTAGAAAGTCTGGCTGGAAGTCTGGCTCTAAGTTTTGTTGAATGTCTGGCAGAAAGTATGGCTTGAAGTCTGGCTAAATGTCTTTTACGAAGTCTGGCTAAAAGTGTGGCTTTGATTTTTGTCTTATGTCTGGATAAAACTCTAAAATTCTAGTAAAAAGAGTTGAATATATGTCAACATTTGTTTAGTAATTACAAACTACAAATCTACAAAAAAGCCCATAATTTCATTGGGAACCAAAACAAATAGCGTTTTTAAAAAGATCTTGATTCATGTCTCTGAGCTGGTTACAAATACATCTTGAAAACATTCTCATTATTGATATTACAATGTATTGGAACAAGCAATGTGTATTAAACATTTTGTGACAGCAGTATTCAAATAGTTTTTGAAAAATTATTTTAGTTAATTTAAAAACTGGTCGGATATTAGATCGTATATCTTGATATAAATCTGGTAGTTAGATAATTTTTAATCATCATAAAAATATTGATCTGAAAATGGATTTTAATGTTTCTCTTATGGTTTGTCTTCGATTTGGTTTCATGATACGTCTCAAAGAAGGTCTCAAAAATTTTCTTGGAACTGGTCATGTAAACAATTTCAAAGATAGTCAAACACTTTATCTTTAATCCGGTCTTATATTACGTCCTATAACGTTTTCTTTAATAAATCTCAAGGTTTTCCTTAACGTACGTCTCAAATTGGTCGCATGTATCACATGGTATGCATTAAATCTGGTAGTTATGAAGGTACTGAGATCGGTGAAGCAACAGATATTCAAATAGATCTCAATACTCGTCTTTCAACTTGTTTCGAAAAACAAGAGTCCAAACAGTTCTCAATGCTAATCGGATCCTAATGTTTGCACAAAAATAATTGTTTAAAAGAAAGTATTAGTGTATCAAAGTATTATTCTAGTTCTTCACATCAACAAGAGGCAGAGCACGATCGTTAACGGCCCTGCAGTTGTTAGCAAATAGGTCGGATTAGAGGTGACGGCTTCTCATCAAAGCCAGCTGCGAGGCAAGGAATAGGAGTTGGTACTGGTGTATCTAATAAAAATATTGAAACAAAGTAACGCAGTTGTATGACGATTATTAATACATTAATAATTTATTGAACTTATCTGAGTATTTAATAGGAAGGATTGCAACTCAAAGACATCAACCGCTGCTAAGTTTAGGGCTTGGATCAGACCAACGGTGAATAGCATTAGAGCGAGATTGCAGTAACGGCCACCTAGGTAAGAGGAAGAGCATAACCGCTCATGACACTGCAGTTGTTGATAAATAGGTCGGATCAGTGGTGACAGCCTCTCATCAGAGACAGCTACGAGGTTGGGAGTGGGAGGGTGCAGGTTCATCTAATAATACAAAGTAAAAGTATGGTGTACTTACTATAATAGTTAATTAAGAGTAATATACAGAAACTTATCAGGGAAGAGGATTATTAATAATATATTTTTAAATCAATTAAGAACAATAAAATGGGCACTTAGTACTCGGGGACTCTTATTGAATAAAAAATATGTTCTGGGCTTGTACNAAAGTAAAAGTATAGTGTACTTACTATGATAATTATTTAAGAGTAATATATAGACATTTATCAGAGAAGGGGATTATTAATAATATATTTTTAAATCAATTAAGAACAATAAAATGGGCACTTAGTACTCGGGGACTCTTATTGAATAAAAAATATGTTCTGGGCTTGTGTTAGACCTTTGGACTACGGTAAAAGAGCAGAAACAGAAGGGAACTTTATTAGTGCCTTAAATGAAATAGGAAAAATATCACATGTAAGAATAATTGTATTACATATCAAAGTTAAATTTAAAAAAAAAATAATAATAGAGTTTTCATGATGAATAAGACAGTGAGAAATTGTAAAATATTATAAAGGCTGGCAGATAAAATGACCAAATGTGGGTCTGGAGGTCTGGCTTAATGTCTAGCTGTATGTCTGGCTGAAAGTCTGGGTCAAAGTCTAGATGTCTGGCTGAAAGTCTGGGTCAAAGTCTAGATGTATGTCTGTCTGGAAGTTTGGCTCAATGTCTAGCAGAAAAACTTGCTAAATGTCTGGCTGGAAGTCTAGCTGTATGTATGACTGGAAGTCTGGCTGAATGTCTGGCTAAAAGTCTAGCTGTATGTCTGGCTGGAAGTCTGGCTGAAAGTCCCGCTGGAACTCTGGCAGAAAAACTGGCTAAATGTCTAACAGTGAGTCTGGCTTGAAGTCTGGTTTAATGTCTAGCTGTACATCTGGCTGGAAGTCTGGCTCAAAAACTGGCCTAATGTCTGGCTGGAAGTCTGGCTGCATGTCTGGCTGAAAGTCTGGGTAAAAGTCTAGATGTATGTCTGGCTGAAAGTCTGGCTGACAGTCTAGCAGAAAATGTGGCTGAATGTCTGGCTGGAAGTCTGGCTGTAAGTCTAGCAGATAAAATGATTAAATGTGTGTCTGGAAGTTTGGCTTATTGTCTGGCTCAAAGTCTGTTAGAAAGTCTGGCTGGAAGTCTGGCTCTAAGTTTTGTTGAATGTCTGGCAGAAAGTATGGCTTGAAGTCTGGCTAAATGTCTTTTACGAAGTCTGGCTAAAAGTGTGGCTTTGATTTTTGTCTTATGTCTGGATAAAACTCTAAAATTCTAGTAAAAAGAGTTGAATATATGTCAACATTTGTTTAGTAATTACAAACTACAAATCTACAAAAAAGCCCATAATTTCATTGGGAACCAAAACAAATAGCGTTTTTAAAAAGATCTTGATTCATGTCTCTGAGCTGGTTACAAATACATCTTGAAAACATTCTCATTATTGATATTACAATGTATTGGAACAAGCAATGTGTATTAAACATTTTGTGACAGCAGTATTCAAATAGTTTTTGAAAAATTATTTTAGTTAATTTAAAAACTGGTCGGATATTAGATCGTATNTTAAATCTAACATGTTCATACACTATACTCTTATTTTAATTAAAAGGCAACCTAGGCTTGTTCTCTGCTACGAGACTATAGTAAACTGACAATATTTAATAAATTTTTTCTTAAAAACTTTGAAAAAATATATGTGCACTTTTAAAATACTCAAATGTAAAATATAAATTTTTTTGGCATGATTCTAGATTTTGAACATTTCTTCTAACTTGCGGAAATTTTAGAAGAAAAATTAGTAGAACTTTTTTATGATTAGCTTATTAAATGTTATATATACGTTTAATTTTTTTTCTCTGAATATTCTGAATAGTCTGCATACTTTACAACACGATGATGTTCAACAAAATTTTTTTTTGAGTCCGCGATCAACAAATATGGGCGTGTGATATGATCTACCAGAGTAATTCCAATACGCCAACAGATTAGCTTATCATATAATCAGTAATCCGAAAAAATGGATTCCTGTAGTTAAACTGAACTATATCAAACGACATATGGTATATTATAAAGCCCCGGATTTACAGGGAATAAAATTTTTAGTAACTTGGGTCGGCCGACTCATCGATTTGTTCGAGATTAGTATGTTCTACAAAATTACTTTTTTCTTATTTATTCACTACAAATTGACCAACAAATGTATTATCAATTAAAATTTTTTCGGAGCCTGCAATCAACCACAACGCGCGTGTGATCTGTTGGCATGATATCACGTTAGCAGATCACCTGTCTTCTAGCGATCGGTACTTTCTATAAAATTAATTTTTTTTACTAGAATTTTACTACAATTTAGCTACAAGAAGTACATCATCTGATTAGACTTGGGGGTTGAGTATGTGATTTGCAAGCGTGAAACACATCAAGTTTACTACGCCTGAGTATTTCACACGTGTGTGTATGTAGAGACGTTTTAGTCTCGAAGGCGTAGCGGTGAAGTTGTAGCTTCGTCAATCATCGAAGTTAAGCAGCAATTAGCGCTGTTAATACTTGGATGGGTAACCTTTCAAAGACTCGCCATTACGCCAATGCTATACATATTGGAGGTCGACTAACTTTCTCTATCGTTGCGTACGTGAACGCGAGGTGTGCAAGAGCTAATACTAATGTTAATACGTATACTCATTTACTCCCTACCTCACCCCATTCCTTATCTTCCACTTTACAAAGTAAAGCTGCCCAAGTTTCATAAAAATCTCATCCGTAATTCAATTTGACATACAACTACCTTAAATGTAATATTTGTGAATATGAATTTCCAAAGAGTAGTAGTATAAAAATAATACCGGTAAAGTTAAGAACTCAAATTATGTAACCCACTGATACAAATTTTTTTGAACTTTTAAAAAGGATACTTAGAACTTGACCATCATTTTTGTCACTTTTGATAGCATGAATCACAGGAAAGCTGAACTTTCCTTCTGACAAATCTTCACAATAACTTTTATTTTCAGAGTACTGGAAATTATAAAAAAGTTGAAAAGCATAGACTTCTTGATAGACATTAACTTTGATCATGATACAATAAAATTATGCATTACTTCCTGCAAAACGAGATTACAGTAATCATCTCTTATTTGGAAATATAAGCCCAAAACTCCAGCCAATGGAGTAAAATCTTCTTTACAATCAGAGAAAAGTTGCATCAAACGAACAGCCAGGTTAAATAATCCTCCAGTTTCTAAAAAATTTTTGTTGCTTGGACAAAAGTAAGAAATAAAGTTACAATATTTTTTATTCTAGTTCTCACTGCGCATTGTCATAGTTTTGTATTCGTCCTCCGAAGGGCATATAAAATTATCTCTCCAGTAAATTTCCATGCCTTGGCCTCTGTGAAGCTCTAAAAGCTGTTCTGTGTATACTTGGGTTGCCTACGCGGTAAAAATAACTTTGCCAATTCAAAGAGAATACTTCAAAGAAACACATTGGAAAATAGCAAACCTCTGGATGATTGAGAGAAAGCACTCGTTCTAAGGCAACAAATAAAACGTAGTTAGCAGCATTTATTGTACTAGCAACTCCATAAATAGAATGAGCAACAGGAATTCCTCTGCGAAGGATGGAATTATCTTGAATGTCATCTATTCTAAAATGTTAATGTTAATGGGTTCTAATAAAGCTACACAAATGTATGAAAAAAAAACATGCATCATATGTTAGCACTAACAATCAATAAGCACAATGTGTAAATATTACATTTCATATACTTTTATGTTATAAGTTTTAAAATTATAAATATTAATATAAATAAAAAAATTCAAATTTTATAAACGTAATATCATGATTCAAATTTGTAAAATAAGTACTTTCATCACTTGCATAATTTACAATAATGTAAAATCAAACGCGACTTGAAAAATGAGAACTTTTCCCTTCAAATTTCATTATACATTTTGAAGTATGATCAATACAGCACATTGAACAAAACAAGAACCCCTATGAACCATTAGATAAGGATGAATAAACTTACAAAAGGCTAGAATTATGAAGCATCTGTATGATATCTCCAACAGAATTAAGCTTGTCTGATGATATTTTTAACCAGTAATTAAAAGCATGTGCAAGTTTTCCTCTGATTTGTTTTCCTGGTACCTGGAGTATGTAAGTAAATGGTTGTAGTAATTTCTGAAAAACAAATACCACAAAAAAAATATATAGTTTGATTACATAAACACCTCATTTAATTTGTTTATTTTAAATATTTGACTCATTTAGTTGTATGAATGAAATAACATAGGTACGGTAATAACAACAATTTTTATGGAAATTCAATGAATTAAATAGTTGACTGGCATGGTTGAAACATAAGAAAAGTTAAAATATAAAATAAGTATGTACTTTCTAAATAATTTATAATAACCCTCTAAATAACATCATTTATTTAACATGTTAGTGGCTTTAGCTCAGACAAGCTAGAAAGCATCTTAAACTGTGTAGG